ATTAAATTTTTAATTAAAAATTTAAATAATTATAATTTTTTTCTTATACTAATTCTTGGATATTTAAAAATACTCTTTTATCATTTTTTTCTTTATTTAAAAAATTCAAATTTAATAACATATTTAAAAAAAATTTAACACTTTTTAAGTAGTATAATTATGGTTATCTTGAGGAAGTAATACAAATTAATACGCAAACTCCTTGTTGCCCTCGTCAGCAATGGTACTTGCGCACGAAATGGAGGTTAATATAGTCATTTACATTTCCACGCCCATCATATTTCCGAATTCCCGGAATCTAATTTTGAGACGCAAGCAGCAGTCGGCAGTTCTCTTCCCCTGTCAAGACCTCTGTCTTCTTTCTTCCAAATCTCAGAGCTAAGAATTCAACAAACAATGGCAACAATATCTCAATTCAATCTTTCCCCGTCCATGATCTTCTCATCCACTCCAAAACACTCTCGATTCGCCTCGAAACCGGTGTTTCTGTCTCTCAATTCGATCAAGGCAGCTCGGAATCCGGTGGAGAAACTTCAACTTTGGTCCCGAGAATCAGTCCGAGGGAGGCCCGTGTTTCGGGTTCGTTCTGTGGACGATGATGAGGAGCCGATAAGTGAGGGTGCGTCGGTGGTGGCGGTGGCAGAGGAGGGGGAGAAGAAGCCTGAGAAAGATGCTGAGATTGAGAGTTTGAAGAAGGCTTTGGTGGATTCTTTCTATGGGACTGATCGTGGGTTGAGGGCTACCAGTGAGACCAGGGCGGAGGTTGTGGAGCTCATCACTCAGCTCGAGGCTAAGAACCCGACTCCAGCACCAACTGAGGCCTTGACCCTGCTCAATGGGAAATGGATTCTCGCGTAAGTTCTGTGTTTAGTTGCTGAGAAAATTTGTTCCTGAACTTATCATAATAGCCTGGAAATGGAAAATTAGTTAAAATTTTTCCCTGAAGTGAATAATTTTCTGTGATTGTGAGATTAGGGTTAGAAATTATTTACCGTATTTCTGTTGAATCTATGATTTTGCCTATAAAAGTCCTGATAGATTCCTGAAAATTCATCCAAAAAGCATTGACCTTGAAAAATGGAGGCTAAAATTTACAATTAAATCAATTTAGTCCAGATGCTCCTAAGTAAATAGCATGATCATAAAGCATTTAATTTGTTAACTCTATAGGGATTGTTTGACATATCTGACCACATGGTATTTGTGAGCGGAAATTGTATAAACCTGTGGTTTAGGGCATATGTGCATAGTTTGCACTATTTGCACCTTTCCGCTGAGGTTACATGAAATGTCATAAATACCCGTCAATTTCTTTTCTTTTTCTTATGAGTTAGGGGGCATTTAGGACATTTCCCCTAACGCCGGTCAAGGTGCATGCAGTGAAATCTACATGAGATCATGTGCATATTTTGTGGTCACAGGTTTCATATTTGCAGTTTCCCTTATTTGTGAATCACAACTCTTCAAGGATTATTTTTGCAGTTTCTATTTATCATGTAAGTACTTTGTGATAAGTGAAGAAGGCTTATGTGCTAATTTTATCTAATTGTTATGGTCCTTTGATCTTTGGCCATTACAAATTTCCTGACATCCCTTATTTTCAATTGCTCTGGAATTTGTTCTTTATATTGAATGGTTTGGTAAAAAAAGATGACATGATAGTTTCCAGGTTTGATGTATCTGCACAAAATGGAATTAGTGTATAATATCACTAATTCACTACAAACACTTGCAAAGAACTGTTAGTGGTTTTGCTTGATTCTTTCTTGAGGCAGTTTCTTCATTGTTGACATTTGTCATTTGATATTTTGCTGGTGGCACAGGTATACATCTTTCCCAGGATTGTTCCCCTTGTTGTCTAGGAGTCCAATGTTAGTGAAGGTGGAGGAAATATCACAGATTATTGATTCTGAAAATTTCACAGTGCAAAACTCTGTTCTGCTATCTGGACCACTGGCAACAAGCTCCATCAGTACCAATGCTAAATTTGAAGTCCGAAGCCCCAAGCGCGTACAGGTAATGTCTTGCCTTCAGCAAGTTTTCTAATTTAAGAACAAACTTGAAGCTCTGGATTGGGGTATTAAATTCCCTTTTTGTTTCTTCTTCTCTGTACAGATTAAGTTTGAAGAAGGCATAATTGGAACTCCCCAGCTGACAGACTCTATAGTTTTTCCTGAAAATGTAGAGTTTCTGGGACAAAAGTTTGATCTCAGTCCCTTCAAAGGCTTACTCACCTCTGTGCAAGATACAGCTTCATCAGTTGCCAAGACTATTTCCAGCCAACCTCCATTCAAGTTCTCTTTCTCAAACAGAAATGCTGAATCTTGGTTGCTAACCACCTACCTCGATGAAGATCTCCGTATCTCAAGGGGAGATGCAGGGAGTGTTTTTGTGCTCATCAAAGAGGGTAGCTCTCTCTTGACACCATGAGAAGAATTGTGTTATGAACTAGAAGATGCTTTACTGTTAGAATCTGAAGATTCTCGTGTTCCTTTCTTTATTGTCTTGTTTGCATCAGTGAACCCAATGGGCTTCTGCATTGATAAATAACACATCTATATATTTGGTTGTGAGTTTTCATTTTGTTCTGTATATAATGATGTGATTGGGTAGAGTTCGAACAAAACTTGATACATTTAGAGTCATGTTTCAGACCAACTTGTGAACCCAAAAGACGAATGTTATTTCAAGTTGTCAGCTCTTGTATATTTGCTACTTGCATCTGAGTGTGCACCGTATATAATTTTTTTTTTTTTTCTAAAAAAGATTTGGGCAGCCAGCATTCCTCCTTGCTTTATTCTTTTTTCATTTTTTAACAGGGTAATGGTTAGAAAGTTAGTATGAATTAGTTGTTAATAATTGAGGATTTCATCCCTAGATTAGGTGAACATTTCACCATCTCAAATGAGGCGCATGGCTATCAAGTCGCTTTTTGGTGGAGTACACAACGGTGGTAGAGTTCGAAACTTTGACCACCTCACTCAAACACTTAAGGTTTGAGGTTGAACCATTATACCTAAAGTTTCGGTTTCTCCTTGCTTTATTCTTATCATATCTCTACGTAGGATAAGTTATAGCCACTTAACAAAGCGTTAAGATGCATTATTGTATATCGTCTTTTAAAACATTAACGTTATTTGATTTGGTTATTAGAAATGAGTGATAATTTGTTGATAAAAAAAAATAAATATTGTAGGTGTTAATTAATAAATTACAAAATAATTAATATTTATTATTTAATAAATTAAAATAAATTTATGCACTAATATTTTTAAATACTTATTATTTATAAAAAAAATATTAATATTTTTGTAATCTCAATGTCTTGATGTGTGCTCATGACACACCAGACAGCACTCTGACTTTTGAAAGAATTAATAGTTTAATATATGAACAACCACTCTTAAAGTTTGAGGGCATCATTTTAAGGTTTCATTTATCACAGCTTTTTATAAACTTATTTAACATAGTATCTTCTCTAGAAATATAAATGTATTATTTTTAATTAGTTTTAATTATTATTTTTATATATTTTTGAGATAATAAAAATAAAAAATCTACTATTATATACAGTACCATATATTGAGAAATGAAGCCTTAATGAATAGTAACAAAAATGGCAAACAAGTATTTGAGTTTACAAGGTAGCTTGCTATATTTTACAAGCAGCAAATTCACGTTGGATTCCATTTGGTTAAATTTTGAATGGAATTTCTTCTTCCAGCTGGATATAATATATACACATGGAGAGAGATTTATTTACAAATAAGTTTTATATATTTAATTTATATAAAATCTTAATTATTTATCCTTTTACTCTTAATAGTTAAAATTTATTACAATTTTTTAAGTGAAAAAATAATTATATCTAATAAATATTATGAATAAAAATTATTTACTGAAAATAAAAATTATATCTAATAAAAATTATGAATAAAAATTATTTAAATATAATTTTTACATATTATTTAAATATTATTTATTTATTTATTTAAAATTTATAA